TGATCATTCAGCATCATTTCTGCTGGACCTAGAATCCAGTTGGTGACCCGGGTGACACCCTCCTCAAGACTGCTGATCTCCTTGGCATCCACAAAACTCTTCTCCATGTCCAGCCAGGCCTCCTCAGTCAGCGCTTCCTTGCCATGTATGATTTCTAGCAGGCGCTTCACCCTGTCCTTTGTATCTAGAACATCTTGTGGTGTCAGGACCTCTTTCCTTTGCCTGTGGTCTTCATCAGCCACAATCTGCTGGAGCAACTCTTTGCCTGGAATCAGCAAACACTGCATTGTAGTATTACAATTTTAACTATTTCTTGCAAGACCCATTTGCAAATGCCTTCTTATTAAAAATAACAATAAACTGAGAGTCATTAAAAGTCTATAGGTCTCTATTTTTACCCCTAAAGAAACCAGCATATTTCATGTATGACAGTAACAGACCCTGTCAAGAACTACACACACTAAAAATGTAGGCAATGAAGATTGTTAGCAGATGCAGAAGGTGGGGGTTTTATGGTCAGTAGGCCTATAGAAAACCCTAAGGCCAAGAATTTCTTAAAAATATTACAATGGAAATGGTAAAAATACTGAATCAGAAAACACATACAGGTAGTCATTAAATATCCCGTTATGTTGAAAAATCTCTTATCAGTATTACCGTGGAATCAATTACAATTATTGTTTTGCAAAACAGATGCACACAGTTATAAACATTGTCCTTTTAAGATATAGTGTTGAATGCAACATAAAAATGTTTATGAACGGTAATTAGGCAAGAACTTGGAAAGAGAGGATTAGAGAGATTATACTGGTAATTTATTCTTTGGATGGTCAGTTCTTATAGACCTCTTGGCAAGGTTCGTCACTGTAAATTCTTTTTTGATTCTGCTCTTACCATGGTATCACTGGCACTAAATAATGGAAACAAACCTGCCTCCAGGACCTTGTGGGTTAGGTCCTTTGTGGTATCAAACATCTCTCGGTTGAAGCTGAGTGCCTCTTCCACACTGCTGACTCGCACCCCAGCATGGAACCTTGTGAGTTGCTGTCGCAGTTTTTCCAGGTCTGAGACCACTCCCTCAGCCTCCTTTATGAATGCTTCCACATGCTAAAAAAGTGGTTTGCTGTGAGGACATCATTCAGCAACTCCACACTCAAGGACTCCAGTACCCACAAAAGAAATATAAAACAAGCAATACATACTAAATGTAAAGCAAAAGTAACTTGGTTAAAATTACAGTCATAGATTTCTACACACTATTGCAAGTACTGATTACTTTCCAATCAATGGATATAATGGTTACACTGCCACGACTATGTTATCAGAACCTTGTGTATAGAGACAGGTAAACCAAGGGAGGAAAAGAATAATAATTACCACTGAGTGGGCTTTAATATCCTCTGCAGCTTAGTTTACATTACATTTAAATATTTTTTTATAATTGGAAATTATAGAATACAGTTAAGTGGTGTTGACTACACCTTTGCAATGCTGATCATGTAGATTTCTTTTTTTCATATTGAATATATTAATGCTAACAGAGAGCAGTCAGGCCACCCCCAATTAATTATCATACAAGTTTAGTTTTTAATGGTTTGGATTCTATCCCACACACTGCCATTAATATAAAAAATAAAGAATTATGGAAATTAAGAATAGAAACAACACTAAACAGTTGTGTAACTTACATTAAATACATCTTGAACAATAAACAAAATCCAACAGAAATAAGTTGATTCAATGTCTTCTTCATAAAAGCCAGCCATTAGGCCCTAACCTTAGCCAGTTGACTACAGCCTACTCTGTTTCTAACATACAACAAACACAACTCTCAAAACTCAATTTTTATCTAATCAGAAATTAAATTAATGTCAATAAATAGGTTGACTGACATGTTTACCTAACACATCATAAAAATGCACTTTCTATAATACTCTCAAGTCTGTTAAATATTATAGGGTAGAAATCTCAGATACCAGCAGCTCACATACAATGCGGTTCTGTATCCACTGATTGTGGTTATACGGCCAGGTGCCTCCTAGGTCTTCTGGAACCTGAGACATGTCGATGTACTTATGGAGTCTACAAAGTGGAATGTACACCGGCTGGAATATAAACAGAACATTAAATCACAAACAAATAGTTTTATTTTCTGTTATGCTTGTCCACTAAAGTTGCCACAAGAATAATACACTGTCTGTCCCTCCATGAAGATCTTGAGTTTAACTGCTAGACTCCTCTTTACATGTGTAAATCTGGGTTTGGCACTGCTCATTTCTGAACATTTGCATTCTAAAAGTAGGTACCAATACATTAATCCACCTCATAAATAAGAAGCAGTTCATTGCAATCACAGTTTTCACAAGCATTTCCTGCAAGCAGTTTTCTTGTAAATGTACCTTTTTTGTACTGGCACGTATCTGTTATAACTTATATGAATTCGGGTTCCCAGATGTTACATAAATGAGCATTTGATCCACATTTAATTTTGTCCAGTCCAACGGTTGTCCTATTTATTTCACATTGTCATTTTCTTTTACCCATGCCTCTTTTGTCTCACCAACTGTTTGTCCACTGGTATTTTTTGTTCAGTTATGAGTACCACCAGATGCAACTGCTATGAACCTCCTGCAACAGTTTGTGTGATCTGAGCTTCAGCATAACTAGCTTTCAAAATTAGCACCTCATGGTGTATGTTATGGTTTATAGTACATCATTCATTATAAATGTATAGCTTTCACATGTAACATTTGTAATATGCTGTAACTGTTGCAGACTAGGTGTGGCCAAAACATGTATTTTGGAAATAAAAGAATGGAAACATGAAAAATAATGGAATGTTGTGTAAGTGTCAATAAAATTTCCTTGCTTTTTGGGGTAGCTGATGATCACTAGCATGTTTATAACAGCTCATCAGTAATTTATTTAGCACAGGAGTGATGGCTTCTTATACATCCTTCTAGGCCAAGGTCTCCCAACTGAACTCTGCTTCATGTTTTCCAATCACAATTAGGCATGTGTTTCTCAACTCCATTCGTGCTACATGTCGTGCCCATCGCCCGACTGTACCGTCCTTACCTCTCCCTCCTTCTGCGTGCGTGCGCAGTTATCCACCCGTTGTTTGTCCCAGAATGCCTCCGGCCTGAGCACAAAGATGGCGGCTGCGTCTGCGCCCATCGTGACTTCCACCTGCCTTATGCAGGCACGCGCCATGCGCCAGGCGCTTCGCGTCGCGTCCAGTACCAAAGTAAGCCCGTTGCGGCGAGTTTCGGCACTGTAAGCACATAGGCTGAACGTTAAGTTCGTATTCCTCTACTATAGGCTACGAACATAGAAGACGAAATGGAATTACAAATTATCAGGTTACTGAAAAGAGTAAAAGGACAAAATTCAAGCACAAACACACGTACCGAATTGGATGTTGTACACAAACACTTTTATTTTCCATTGAAATACCCGTTGAAGCCGAAGCTCATGAAAATAATATTTAAGCATTTACATCAAACCCTTAAAAAAACACATAACACTCCACCATTACAAAGATCAGCTGACAAACGCTGTTCAGGTAAACAACCACTCTTTATCCTGAGAACCATTCGAAACCCACTGAATTTTAAAGCACCAATGGCCTTCAAAGGGTCAAAAGTAATGGTGAGTACGTGAGATTGAGAAAAAAACATTAAATAATTTTACACAAAAACATTAACCCACCTTTCGATATTTTATATAAGTTTGTCAGAAATAATAAAGATATCATCCCCCTCCAACCTTTGTTTCAAGTAAAAATAAGCCCCAGGCGAAACGTTTCAAATTTAGTCTTAGTGTGTTCATCACTTGCTTAACATTTGTTTCCGATATTAATAAGCTTACTGAAAGAAAGTTTTATATTACGTACATAGCCGTTTTTTAATAAACTGAACTGAACTGAAGTAATGAAGTCTTTTATATTACACTCTTGCAAATATACAGATGTCCCGTAAGTCTTAGACAATAGAGCACCTCAGTTATTTGTCATGACACAGAAAAATGTAAGAAGCAAAATTTGTTGCAAAAAATGTGTTTCCATTCTCGAGTGTTGAATTTTTTTACCTGGGACAAGCAGTTACGGCGCCACACTCTTCATGTCACCAGTAGTACGAGATTACGGCCATGAAGATGGCTAACGATGCACTTTATCTGATCAATTTTGTGTATTTCATTGAATGGAGTACCGCTAAACCACGAAAGCAATACTCTCTGTTTTTCAAAGTGTTAGCCGTGCTAACACGGTTGACATGAACACTCGGCTCCTGATGGCAATCTTTCACCCAGGATTACGGAGCCTTGGGCCAGCATGAAAAATCATCTGCTATAAAAGAAATAAGTGAACGAAAAGTTTACCTGAATATAAAGATAAAGTATCTGAGGACAGTGTCCAAGTGATCCTTGTTCCAGAACTGCGTCTCAGACGGTACTGGTACCACCAACAATGGGCGGCCCTCCAGGTCTCTGCCTCCCGGAACCGTGGCGTTCCCAGCATGCAGCGCTCCCAGGACGTCGGCTGCCTCCATCCTCTCCTAGGCAAGAAGCTATGTTTCATTGATAAAAATTTCAATGTATCATACCTACAACAACTCTGTGAATTTCAGTTCAAATGTCGATTTACTATTGCATGTGAGTGGGATGCGACTGAATCCTGTTTAACTGCGACTTGAACCGGCTGTATTGTATCAGGAACTGGCGATGATCAGATAATATATCCATGAGACACTGGTGCAATGATAAGCAACGGTGTGCTCCTCTGTACTGCCCTAGGATTGAGCCCGAGGCTCTGTGGCGATAAAGAGGCGTATGACCGACTGAGATATGAAACAACAGGGACAAATAAAAGTTCAATTTTTCTTTTTTTACCAAGATACCATTTTAGTCGTTGGTTCTTATATTTTGGTAAAATAAACATATTAACGGCAATACGAGGTGCGATCGGAAAGTTTCAAGACTGTGTCAATAGAGGGCGAACAGGATATAGTACGAGCTTCTGCCGCTAGGGGGGTGCGGCCTACATTCATAGTGAATCAGTGTGCCAGCCGGCATCATCGAATTGGCATTTGTTTCTTAGTTACGGGCGTTTTGATAGTGCATTACACCGACCCTCCTGCGATTTCGGAATGGCGTGTGCATCAAATTTTGCCAAAGACTCGCCAAAACGGCTACGGAAACCTATGAAATGCTAAAGCAAGCATTTGGGGAGTCCGCAATGGGTAGTTCACAAACTTTTATGTGGCATTCATGTTTTAAAAATGGCCGAACCTCTGTCGAAGATGACGAGCGTTCTGGACGACCATCTTCGAGCACAACGCCCGAAAATGTTACGAAGATTCGGCAGGCCATTCACGAAGATCGACGTCGTACCATCAACGACTTGTGCGACATTGCTGGGATAGGCTATGGGACCTGTCAGCAGATTCTACACCTGCAATCTATGTTCCTCCCTCAAAGTGAGAGTCGTTGTGTTCACTCCCAGGGGAACTACTTCGAGGGTGATGGATGAATTTAATACCTGAGATAAGTGTACGGGTTTTTATAGGCGCAGTATTGAAACTTTCCGATCGCACCTCGTATAATTCGATACAACCGATTATAGTGTTAAGTTATTTATTTGGCTTCAATTTGACGGCAAATGTGGTAAAGTGCAAGACAGGATATGCACAGACACATATGCAGAATCCATGGCTTTCCTAGTCTTGATTTATTACCTCATCTAATGACTACTGCCTGTCTGTCTACTCGGCAAAGCAGGCAGGTAACACGTTTTGCTTAACGCCGACAAGATAATGAACTTTCGAATTTCACGAGCAGAATATGTGTCTATGTTTCGTAATATACCCCGTTTTGTACGATGGCAGAATTCTCTGAGAAATTAATAAGTTCGTGTAAAGTAGAGTTAAAGTTTACTTAATTGTAACAGAGTGAAACTCGCCCAACAGCTATTAGTGCAGAATTTCCATACCCATTTCATCAAAATTCAACAACTGATTTGGAGCATTAGAATGATGACAAAAATTTGGAAATAATCTAAGATGTTCTGTGCATTACTGAGTTCGCTTCATGCTCATTGTGCAGGGCGCGCATAAAAATCGAGATAAAGATGTGGGCAGACATACTTTGTTACAATGTTGATAACATGTATTATAGGCCTATTGTTTTCTACCACAAAGATAATAAAAGTTAAAATAAATTAGTTAAAACTGACACGTAATAGATAAGAAAACGCAATGACACTTAAATTATTTTCATTGAACCGTTCACACAAACCTATAATAATAAATTATCTTACTGAGGCGACATGTTTCGGTGAAATTTAAATCATTATCTTCAGACGTACGTATAATGTCAGTTACTTAGATGAAGTGTTGCAGAATATTAATAAAATAAAATTTTAAAAATGTATCCATTTAACGAAACGTCGCCTCAATAAGACAATTAATTATTACGTGTTTGTGTGGATGACTTATTTAAAACTAATTTCCGTATGTTGCACGACGTCACCTGTTAATCGTATCACCGTGGTGCTAGAAGCAACCCTCCTCATCGCCAACAATGCATCACCACACTGCACTGTTAACACACTGGTACAGACTAAAGCTGAAGGAGACCACAATCACCTGGAAAACTGATGGAGCGTGTTAAAGCATCAGAGGGTCTTGTCTTCTCATTGGTCGAGATCTGTTGCCCCAGCCTCCAGCTGCTGGCTACCTCTCACCCACAGCATTCCGAAACAGAGAACGGGATTTTCTCATTCCTTGACACAGCAGCAGGGTCAACTTTAGCTCAAAGCTGGGGCCCTGCACCCAGCCGGGCTGACCGACTGCACAGTGTCACAATACTTTCAGGAGACGTTCGCATCATGAACAGTTAACACGAACAGGTTGGTGTAGCGGCAAAATTAGAGACTTGTACCTGGTTCGAATCTCAGAGAGATTCGTTTTTCGTGACGTTTTCAAGTTCACAAAAAAATACAACCTTTGAAATAGGCTACGACGCCTCCTTCCAAGTACTAATTTACTCGACATTCATAATTATTTTTTCATCCTACTAAACACTATTATTATTATTATTATTATTATTATTTAGTGTTCTGTCTGACGACAGGTCCATATGAACAGGATCCTTTTTATTTATTATTATTTAGTGTTCTGTCTGATGACAGGTCCATATGAACAGGATCCTTCGATCCTTTTCTCGGACTGGGACCTGTTCATATCCGTTCTTGGCAGATGATCCAGAAGTGGTTTGGCATTGCCTTCTTCTGTGTGTGAATGGGGTAATTGTTGGGATGCCACGGAGGAAAACTCCGTTTTGCCTAGACCACGGCCTTGCCCAACACAAGTTATAAATTCGGGCACCGCCGGGAATCGAACCCGAGACCCCAGGATTACAAGGCCAGCGTTCTAACCGCTAGACCACCGTGGCCGTACTAAACACTATACTGTGTCGTTTATAACCTGTGAATTAACATTTAAAAACATATTTTCTCCTAAAAACTGCAACCAAGTATTATGTACGAGATTTTATAGTAACATTCCATACATGTCCTGTTTATTTACAGCTAGAGCCAAAGTCTGGTCCTCCGACCACAACAGTTAATCGTGTCTATGGTGACCAAGTGTAAGATAGTATTGTCGGCTACATTGTATCTGTTTGATGATCTGATGATTCCCACGGTTTAGTATCTAACATGGCAGAAACAATTTGTAACTGTTATATTTTAGTTTTCATTTGCCATAATTTAATAAAATAATGTATTTTTAGGCGCATTTTCAACAAAAATCTAAAAAAGTGCTTATTATTTTCTTCATGTATATATCTTATTATTGCCCTTATTTTGTCCAACGCTAGTCAACTCGCAATTCTACGACGTCATGATCACCCTGAGCAACAAAATGAAAGAGAAGAAAATGATCGGAACAAATAAGTCTCAAGTTGAGTGTGATTGGAGTTGAGTGTCGAGGTCGACGTCCGTGGATGACCAAGAAAGTATAGCCTGTCGGACCAGTGCAGGTCGTTGTCTGGGTTAAACACATCATTTGATTTAAGACTCTCTGGCTTTCATGTAGTAATGTGTGCTCCGAAACTGTAACTGACCTGTCCCCGATGACCTTCAGCGGACCATAACGTGCGGCCACACACCCTTCTGTGGAGGTAATGTTATGGATTATGGCTAATATTCTAACCAAGCGTATTGACAGATACACCGTTTCATTCTCCCTTTTCCTCCCACAGATTACGCTCAAGCCTGTTCTGCCTTTGTAGTTATCTTTTGGTATCCATCATCAGGGTGATGATCACTCTAATGGTGGAGGAAGTATGACCTCTGAAACGTTGGTAAACTTCTACCAGACTACACTGCGCAATTACCAAGAAGAAGTCATCTTCAATCGGCACGGAAATATCAACATCCTTCTACTGAACACCTAGAGGTCATCATAAACACGAACACGGTAACCATGCAAACACAGAGCTATTGCCATTAGCCTTAAAGACACACTCTGCTAATTAACAGCCTGTAACTAAAGTCTGAGTTATAAACTGTTCAAATTGTTAAGTAACTTCATAATTACACTGTAGAGTAAGTGAAGCAGGCCGTGAAGTACCTTTGTATAGCAAAATGGTGTTCTGGCTGTCTACAATAAACAAGATCGTTCATTTTGTGTATTCATTCCATTGGCAGAATACAAGAGACGGAATTCCCGCTAAAACAGCAGTGTCAAAAACATTAATCACTTCTAAGACTTCCGTCTTCTGGGTTGTTGCGCTGTGTAGTCTGGTCGATGTTAGCCAACGTTTCAGAGGTCATACTGCCTCCGTCATCAGGACGATGAGTATGAAGATTTTTGTCTTCTGGGTTGTTGCGCTGTGTAGTCTGGTCGATGTTAGCCAACGTTTCAGAGGTCATACTGCCTCCATCATCAGGGCGATGAGTACGACGATTTCTGTCTTCAGGATTGTTGCTCTGTGTAGTCTGGTCGATGTTAACCAACGTTTCAGAGGTCATACTGCCTCCATCATCAGGGCGATGAGTA